TAAAAGAATTGATTTTTAGTAACGACAAAAAGTTGTCACCAAGTAACCGCTATAGCGACTATTATTGATACACATCAGCGACGACAAAATGAGTCACCGCTAAAAAGTACTTTTAGCTCCCATGGTAGTAAAAACAGCCATGGCTGAAGATTATCTTTAGGCGTGACATTTGTTGCCACTGAAAGTGGCATAAAAATGATGCCATGTCATCACCACACATCACCCTCACGGCATGACACCACATCACTTGCCACCCCACTTTCAGTTTCTCACAAGTTGTCTGCACCCAAGTTCGAACCTGGGACCTACTTGTTATAATGTGAGTGTTGTTACACGGAAGCTGAAATGAAACCCCACCAGTCGCGGCACAAATTCTATTGTTAACATCATGTATTCATAATGTATAAATCTCTATTAATATGTGTGATGTACATAAATCTAATAATTAAACACATGTATTTAAGTTAACACGCACACACAGACACACACACACATATATTAATTTCTATATTAAAATGAAATCAAATATTAAATTATATATTAATATAATATTTAAAACATTCTTTTATATAATTAATGTAAAATCATGATTTTAATTTCTTATGTCATATTTTTAATATTCATATAAAATATTAGTGAATGAGTTAAAATATATTTTATAGATATAAAGATAAATTTTTAATATATAAAAATAATTAAAAAAAATTGTATTGCATACTTTTTGAAAACATTATTGATAAATTTTATAATATGTTTTTAATTCTTATGATGTTTATTTTTAAGTATAAATTAGCAAAAAATTAAATATTATATTATATGATACGTATTATATTTCAAGATACTATTAAAAAAATCATTTAGCATTATATAAATATATTTAAATATATTATTTCGACAAAAAATGTGATTATATCTAATATATCTATAGGATTATCTTAATTCAGGTGTGAGAGGACATAAAAATCTCATTTGATTTAATATTTAATTGTGTGGATGTATCATTTATTTTGAATTAAAGTATCAATTTATGCATAAAATTTCCATGAAAATAGAAACTCACTACCTTATTTTATTTATTTATGATAAATAACATATTTCATATTTTAATATGTCAAATAATATATCGAAACAAAAAATAAAAAAAATTATACCCATTTTTCATAAAAACAATTGTAGTTAAAAGTCTTACCTTTGGGGATGACTAAAAAATATCGCTGCCATCTAAAAGTATGATCTTCGGTGGTGACAGAAAAAGTCGCTACCCAAAATATGAGTTTTATCAGTAACCGTAAAAAATCACTACTGAAAGTATAGGTTTTAGTGGTGACTCAAAATGTTACCACTAAAAGTATTGTCTCTTAGCGAAGACAAAAAATACTGCCACTGAAAGTCTAACTTTGAGTGGCAACTTTCTGATAGCGTACCTATCAAGGCTTTCAACGGCAACTTCAAAAGTTACCACTGAAAGTGTTATTTTCAACGACAACAAAAAAAGTCATCATTGAAGACTTTCAATGACAAATTTTTTTGTCACTTTTGAAAGTGTGTTTTTTTTTTGGTAGTGATAGCATGGTATTTAGGAAAAGTAGAAGCGTGCATGCAAATGCCCAAAATATCAAAATAAATCCTTATATTGTGTCTTCTTTTTTAATTTTTAATAACTAGCTAGATGTTATTTCTTGTTACCTCATCAGCTGAATTTGGAGGCACAACATCAACAGCAACATCGAGAGCAGTTTGACCATATTTATTGCATGCCATTGTGTCCACTTTTGGAAATTGTAGGTCCAGAAGAGGATGATAACGATTCCGTTTGGGAGCTTGACGGGCAAGAAGGTGAAGTGGTGTGTTCCCATCATCATCTTTCTCATTGCACAAGTTGCTTAGCGGTGTATCTTGTATGATTTGTTTTAATAGTCGTAGGGAATGAGTTTCTCCCATTGTAATGTAGTGCAGAGCATTTAAACCCTTTTCATCCACCAATTCATAACAATCTGGACAATAGTTTAATACCGTTCTCATCTTAACTGAATCTGCAAGTGCTGCAAAGTGAAGAGCCGTCCTTCCCTTGTTATCCCTCATGTATGCTGTGCCTCTATCTTTGCTTACCAACAATTCTAACACCGTTGGACGTGCACAAAGTGCTGCCAAGTGAAGGGGAACCCAACCATTTTCATCTGCTTCTTTTGCCGCTAATAAATTTCTTGTCAACAACTTCCGCACTTGTCCTGTCATATATAGATAAGATCAAATCAAACACCATCCATTTCATCTAAAAATAATTAGCTACTTTCTCACATGAACACTTTTCAAATTTGAAGTGTTAATTTCAATCGTAACTATCATAATTTAATTAAAATAATCAGTAACAATTCTGTTAAATTATTTCAGAGAGTTTATATCAGTTGTTATTTCATTTTTTTTCAAAAGAAAAGTTAGTTTAAGCATGTTAGTTAATTTTGGTTGTTGTCGTTTTATTCCTAGGAAATTAGGTATATAAATGAAAGATTAATTATTTTAAATGATAAATTACAAAGTCATAAAATAAAATACCTGTGTCACCATGAAGGACTGCGGCATGCAAAGCATTTCTGCCATTAGGGCCATTATATTGTGGTGAACTACTCTGATCCAATATTGTATGTACCATGTCCCAATTTTGTCTCTCAACAGCAATATAAAGTGGAGTCTCATCATCAACATTTTTACCAAAATATGTGTGATCTGGTTCTTCCTTTATCAAGACATCCACCACTTCATTGTGACCGTAACGAGCTGCTTCGTGCAAGGCCGTGTCCTTCCTATTATTTGTTGCTCTTATAAGTCTTTTCTCAGTTCCAACTTCATAAATATCAGAGTCTCTAGCACAAGCAATTAATTTTTTCACTATTTCATGATGTCCATATCTTGCTGCTATATGAAGTATGGTATCACCCTTCCCATTGGTCTTCAAAAGAAGTGCACGACACATATGTAAAACCTCTTCCACAAATTTCTCTGAAACACTGTCAGTGTACTTCGTGAAGTGTATATGAAGGATTGTATTTTTATTTGGGGTTAGTATGGACTCAATTGGCTCACCCTTCTCTTTAAAGAGATTGATGTTGCCTTCCACTGCAGCTTTGTGAAACTCAGGTTCCATGCCTGTAATTGTGACAATTGTGTAGTTGTCGGGATCAGAAACAGGTTCTGTCGTGATTTTGGTGGCTTCTGTCTTGCTGAAGCTAGCATTATCGGCTGTTATCTCCATCCAACTCCTTTTTCACTGAAACTGTTTATAAAATCCCTCAAAAATGAAACCTCTGTATTTTGGTTATGCCAGACAATATAACTATATGCCGAATATCTCTCTTTCTTCGTCCTTTTTCTTAAAGTCAAGTTCTATATTTTTGGAAACACTAAAACAGACATAGATAATGATAATTACGGATGAAGGATTGGATCTGTGGCGTGTGATTTATCATACCCATGGAATATTAATTATTTATCCACTGCATGGGCGAGAATCAAGTAAAATTGAGTCAGCCTTGAGTCCTTGACCTACTGCCAATTAGATGGATTAGAATTCAAACATAAAATTTGGCTTCTTGCTGCTATAAGAAATTGTCCCTATGGATCTGAAATTAATTAATCCCACACTAGCCAACATATACATTTTCAGCTATGACAGCCACGGCACCACAGCTTTTGTAACTTAAAATAGGTCCAAATGTTCCAACAAGAATAAAAGTAAGAGCAAGAACAAGGGCAAAAAGAAATAATGCAATCTTCTAAGCAATATCAATATAGCAAGACATAAAGCTACATCAAACTGAAAAACCATGTGATCTTATTTTGTGTAGATGTAATATAAGTAGTTAAGTACCTTAAAAATAGCTGTTGAGGGAGCCTTGTAAAAGGGTGAAACAGTAGCTCTTTACTTCTTCAGATGAATTTGTGGAAGTAGTGTGAGTGAGGGGGAGAGAGTTGAATGAGAAAGAGTGAAATTGTATGGAGTGGTTGAAAGAAGGTAGAAGAGTAAAGTGTATTGAGTGGTGGTTGAACTTATAAAGAAACAAGGACGAGAGCAATGGGAGGGTTTTATCATTTACTTTTAAAGGAAAGGTAAGTGGGGAGGAGCTATATCTTATCTTAATCTAATCCACAACAACTAACTCCGAAACAGTTCTGTTTTTTGATAGGTCAGTAACGAATATCGTTAAAACACAATTCTGACTTTTAAGCACAAAAAGCCGGATATATCGTAATGTACAATGCTGACCACAAAAATTAAAAGAATATCCTTTGCTTTTAATTTGGGTAATATTGGACCAGTGTCGGCATATGGCATGAACCTATTATAAGGGTCCTTTGTGTGGTGGAGGTTTGAGAAAAGAGAAGATAATTGAGAAATAGCTCAAGCATAAGATCAATGCATTTGAAGTTAAGGCCAAACGATACAGTATAAAAAAGGCCAAAATAAAAAACGCTGTACAGTATAATTAAGCACTATGAAAAGCATCTGGAAATTACGCATTTTTTAGCTTTAGATATTTTCGTCATATGTTGTGGATTATAGGCCCAATAGAGATTTTTTCCCCCCTTACTAAGTAATGATATTCATCCTAATTACAATATCAGATATTTTCATCAATACGTGGTGGGACGTGGTTAGAGAGGGGAAAAAAAAACAGAGAGAGCCAAATACCAATTTAATCTATTCGGAGATACTTAGAGAACTGCAAATAAAATGCTCTCCAAATGTTAAGTGGAAGCATCGCCATAAAAGAAAAGCTTGAACCGCCCGATACAAGAGAGAGGGAGCTCAGTTTTTTCAATAGCAGTCCTGTGTTTTCTTCAATGGTTGTAGCGTTAACACTTTGATTTTTTTTTTTTTTTAAGTGTAAAGAGACATTATTTTAGGTGAGGTTCTCATTTAAAGTAATTGCTCCCCGTGCAACGCACGGGACAGCACCATCTAGTTTATTTAGTGCATTGACTCAGAGCATTTTGAAGAGATCTGGCAGAGGTAATTGATTTATACATGAACAACGTGACACCACCCTGCAACGATCGAATTCAAATTGTGTAAAATATTCACACCAAGACATACAGCTTTAGGAGTTGCTTTTAATTACTGTGAGTTCTCCTCCTAATGATGGAAGGACTATTGTCATAAGTCATAGCTAGGCTTCTCGGGACAACCTTCGGAGGAGTATAATATAACAATAACCATTGATGGGGTTTCTTTTAATAGATTCTGTGGGCGAAGCCAAATTTTCTACCAGGAATAACTGTGCAGGATACAAGTTTTAACTTTGAACCCCGTTTCTTTTATTTCTCACGTCATCTTCAGCCTCCTCCTTGTAACTAGCCAATGCTGGTTGGCTCAAAAGAGGGCTGCAACAATCGCCATCCCCCAAAAACTTCGCATCTGATCAGGACTTAAAGCGGGTCTGGGTGATTATGCCACCTGAAATGAGCTTGTAACTCAGCACATGCGTAACAAGAATATGGCTCGATGTAGCAGCATAAAACTTAATGTCGTCCTACTTGGCCACAAAATTTAATGACATTTAGGATGATGAAGGGCAAGCATCACAATTAACATGATTTCAGAAGGTAGTTCAGACAGCATTTTACGCCGAACAACATAGCTGCAGTCAATTATAAAGCTACTTTTTGGATGATCGGGGCTTATTTGAATTAACATTGGCAAAAGTGACTTTTCTTTTAACTGGGATTTGCAAACTCAAGTTGAGATAAAAGTTAATTAGCATAATGTAATTTATATTTGGATAGGCTTTTATTAACCCCAAAAACAAAAAAAAAGTTAGTTTGGCATAAACTTGTTTGGATGATATACTGAAAATCAGTTTTAAAACATTCACATCTAAACAAAAGCCAAAGGCCTAAAGTCAAAGGAAATTTCTTCATCTTCAACTCAACTTTTATTGAGAAGCTCTTTTTCTCAGAAGCCATCCCAAACATCACATGTTGAGCCAAAGCGGCTATTCAAGGAAGAGAAGTCAGTTTGGCATCACATAACTTGGATGCCAAACATCACACAGAACACATCATTTGTTCATGCCTAAGCTGAATGAATCAGTTCTGTTGAGCTGCTTTGAGCAAAAGGGGTCTAATATAACAACACAAGGACGAGATAATCAACATCAGTATTCAATATATGATGCAACTATTTTAAGAAGTCATCTTGACCATAAGTTAATCAGACACCAAGCTAGAGATGAACCAGCAAAGGCTTCAGAAAATAGTTTGTAATAGTACGATGTTACATCTAAATGTTCCTATAGGGTCAAACAATAGCCAGACATCACACACACACACAGATATATATATATATATATAAACACACAACACAAATTCAAAGAACATGTCAAATATTATATAACCTCTCCCGGCATTGCACCTCCTTTGTCCATGATCCCTTTACAAAGTTTAGGATTCAGAACTTTCTGGCAAGAATTGAACATCAGTTCTCCTGGGGAGACACAAGGCTGTAAAAACAGTCACAAATTCCCACCTCCGATTCTAAATATAAGATCTACTTTTAGGACCAGAGGTAGTAGTTTACTGTAATCAACTTTTCAATATGTTAGCAAACAAGCTAGTGGAAGAATCTCGTTATAATTTTAATTATCATCACTATGTTGCTCTTTAGTACTACACAAATTATACCAAGACTATTGCAGGAGTGAAACTAAAATGTAATAGTAAAGTGATAGCCACTAGTTAAGAGTATTTAGGGGATGATTAGAGAAACGGTAAAATAAGCACATTAATTTTATTTTTCATTCCCATTTTGATTTTGATTCCCCCTTCATTTTAGCCTCTTTTGTTAAAAAGACATTTTAATACTACTTCTAATCTTTAATATAAAACCCAGTTGACTAATTTGGAAAAATTAAAAAAGTTACTAAATTATGATAAATTATTTATATTCATCGTTTTTATCCAAACTAATTTGTCTTACTTATAAATTGATATTTATAAATGTAGAAGAATCTCCAACAACACTCAACAACAATAAAAAGCAACATCTAAGTTACAAAATAAATAACAACCACAGGAGTATATACATTTTAATATGGCATGAAAATAATTCACCTTGCTAACAACTATATAGTCTACTTGTCACATCCCGAAAATTAAGGAGTGACCGGCACAGAATATGATAGAATTCACATTCCTTAAACCTTAAAACATATAAATAATTATGTAACATAATCATTATAACTTCTTTCACAATATCATGATTGATATAATATTCTAGGACATACACCATTTCTGATTCATTTATATATATATATATATATATATAAACATATTCCTTATGATCATAATACCAACATGTCAACTGAAAATAAGGATCTTGCATATAAGCTACATGAAGCATCTAAGTTATAAAAGTAATTACAAGTGTAAATTTAGATTTCCATGGATTACCAATTCCTCCAAGAAAAGATCTCCAAGCTTGATTAGCAATGAAATCCCTTATGGTTCAACTGGAGATGCAGGGTCAGTGGTGTTATTTGAGGCCAAAATTGGTTTTTTTTCCCCTTTTGTGAATAACATCCCATAAATAAAAATAAGATAAACACATGATGAAATAACAAATTATGCAGACATTATTTTGTAAAATGATTTACCAATGATTTTAAATTTTTGAGTAAGCTATTTAGACATAAAAGAAATTATATAAAGAACTTCATGATTACAAGAATAACTAAATATTTAAACAACTTATAAAATCAGATCATGAAATAGTGTGAAAAACCCTGTTCAAGTGAGGACCTCAACAAAATAAGCAACAAGCGTAGATACACAGTCCACGAGGGCAGGTAACCATCAAGCGCGACCAAAGCCACGAATATCCAGCGAGCTCAATGTTAACCATGGCGCACCCATACAAATGCAGCTAAAACCACGAATAACAAGTGCAGTCAAAGTCACGAATAACAATGCAGCTGATGCCATGAATATGAGCGCAACAAAAGTCACAAATAACAAGAGCAGTCAAAGCCACGAATAACAAGCATAGTCGAGGTTACAAATAACAAGCGTAGCTGAACCCACAAATACAAACACGACCGAAGTCACGAATAACAAGCATGGCCAAAGCCACAAATAACAAGCGAACTTGATATCAAACATGGCACCCCAAGGGCTATCAATACTGCTGTTAGTAACCAGCATTCTGTATTTAGTCCTCTCAAAAATGTTTCAAGCATGCATAGGGTCAATTAGCCACTTGCAACAGAAAATATATTTCTTTAATAACAAAAGTTAGTAAAACATATATAATAAAAGAAGACCCCAGCATGAAGTTTTACAAAATCTCAATTGATTTCTTTCAAGTTCCATGAGTCAACAAATCCTTTTAAATTAATAATAGCTCACATAAAAATAAAACATTTCACAAAAATCATCTTGAAATATTTCTATTGAATTTTCATGCATAAAAACTTGTAAAGACTGAAAAGATATAAAATTATCAAGCAGCTAACCATAAATAAAATTGTTATTTCATTTGAACATTCAAATCTCAAGAACAAATGATATAATTCCAACAAACTCGCTTTCAACAAGTATTACTTAAAATTGATAATATAATTTTAAAATATGATATATTGAAAAACCATATCATTTATAAAAATATCATAGGATGCTGTTTACTCACCTGCTGTGCTCCCAACATATACATTGTTTCAGTTTATACAGTTATGATTTAAGTTTGCTCCTCATTCTCCCCAATGTCCTAAAATCAAAACGTTTCTCCCAAATAAAAACTTATACAAGAATTTCCATAACAATTCATTCAATGCAACTTTGACTAATTCATCCTAATAAGTCTTTTTCTTTTTTCTTTTTTTTTCCTTCCTCTAAACTTCAAAGGAGAAGATAACAAATTTATTTATTTTAGCATTCCCCCATTCTAAACCCATACCAATTCGGTGCATATAAAATATACATATATATGTGTGTGTGTAAAAGCTTGAACAATATTCCTAGCTTTCTATATTCAACATAAAGAATTCACAACTTTGCTCTTCAAAAATCTAGGAAGCTCACTTGAGTGTTAAGAAGCTCAAAAATACTCTTTAAAGGCCAAACAATGAAGCCCTAACAGAGCCCAATCAATCTTCTTCCTACTCCCCTTTGTTTTTGGCAGCTGTCAACTGGTTTATAAAACCAGATTTTGACGCATTCATTACAGTGAACATCTAGCAAACAACATAATTAACATTCTATTTTGTTCGCTACAGCGAACATCTAACAAACAACACAGACAAAAAGGGCCGACTTCAAAAATTCATATATAGCTTTATGAATCTCCAAAAATTACAAACTAAGCCTCTTTAGAAGGCTTGAGATGTCTATTTTCCAATACAAAATGGATCACTTAAAAGTAAGATCATTTGGCCCTTGAAAATGCCCGACTTCCAAGAGTACTCAAAAAGGTTTAGAGATATGGCCTCCAACTATCAATTTTAGTATTTCTAAGCCTCAAACTTCCAATTTCAACTACTTAATAGCTCAATTTTTCTTGCTAGTCCAAGCTTAATTAACTCTAAACCTCAAATTAAATTTTTGGATGTCATAGCATGTATAGACCAAATTCTAATAAAGGCCAAGGCTAAACATGACTACTTATAATTTATACATTCATCTCAATATCTTCATATATGCTACATGTAACATTCTAATTTGTATTCCTATGATTTAAATATATTTGAAAAAGAAAAATTAATTCATGATAAATGAAATTTTACCATGTAATTACTTGAGTAAAGAGTATTTACCGAAAACTTGATTTATTGAAATAAAAGGATTACAGAAAACATTTTTTACAATAGGGTCGTAAACCTTAATTGTCTCAATTATCACATGGGATCATTGTGTGTAATATGCTCCTAACTACATTACATGTTGCAGAAAATGCGTTTTCCTCGTCGTCCTCCTTCATTTTTCTCCTCCTTTAGGCTTTAGTATTTATTTTTGGTAGGTAAAACTACTCCTAATCACAAAACTTCCTTTATAAAAATTATTCTACTCAACTAGATCTACCTAATGGGTATATAATTATGGTGATTAAAGAAAATATTAGGATTCAGATATGGAGTAAGTATTGAATTTTGAGAATAGACGACCATAAAAATTTAAAGGTAAATGAGTAGTTAATTTTAATCAGTTTATATTTATCAATTTGTTGCTTTTAGAACTTTAAATTAAATTTTAATTGAAAACCTTTTATTTCAGATATATATATGTGACACTTATACCGATTAAATTTGAGTTAAATAATTTGTTTGGGCTCTTTGATATATTATTAAGATTTTAATTAGTTTAGAATGTTGAAAATACTGAGAATATATTATTAGAGAATTTTTGAAATTTGAAGCTTAACTTATAAATTAAGAATTTTATACAATTAAATAAAATAAAATTTTAGGTAAACTTGTGGTTTAAATGATTGTTTGCAGTGAGAAAAATTTTAAATGATGTTAGAATAAATGATTGAGAATTTTAATTTAGAATTATAATTATGGGTAGTAAATATATATATTAATAATAAGTTTTATATAATTAAATTATTTATTTCTATATATTAAATTGTATCTATATTGTTGTGTAGATTATTTTGCGTTTCGGAGTTTGTAATTCGTACTCTTATTTCTCAAGTAAAGTTAAACTTCGAGTTGAGGTAATTGAGATTAATTTATTTTATATGTATGCTTTGGATCGTAAAGTATTTACTATGCTTTTATTTTCTCAAATTAATTTGTCAAAGTATGTCTATGAATAAAGTATGTATTTTCTCATATAAAAAATTTTGATAAAGTGGAAAGTATGTCGATCTAATTATGCATGAATTGTATTTTATTAGAAATTCTATTTTCTTGTTTTGTTGAATATGATATACTAATATTATGTTATTAAAAAAATGAAAATCTGTTGTACATTGTTTAAAGAACTCTGATATTTTTAATTTATATTGTGACTATGCATGGAGGTTGGGATTTATTATGTGGTGGATAATTGTTCTTAAAGTCTACACAGCATGCTTACACTACTAATTTCCATGGCTCCATGCTTGGGCGGCTTAGGTGTAGGAGGGGCCCTTTCACTTGATATGAGTAGGGTGAACTTTAGCCGGGTTGCTTAGCACATAAGGTCCGGGTCCATGTCAAGGAGTCATAAGGAGGAGTATAGTGATGGGAGGACATATTTCATTGTGTTGTTTCAATAGCAACAAGGTCTCCCCAAAGGTCCTCTTGGCTGAAATTCATGAGTGTAGGAGGGTGTATTTGTAGCAATTTGATTAATTCTTAGCCCTTAAATTTCAACAAAATTATAAGGGATAGGTGGACAAATCCTAGCCCTCCATTTTTTTCCAAAAATAAGGGACAAATCCTATGCCTCAAGAACATGATCTTGTTACTTGTCCACATGATGTCATGGTGATGATGTCACATGCTTATGTCATGCCAAAATTAATTAGCCTAATCTTGGCTAACTTCTCATGATTAATTCCTCTTAATTACCTTCTAGAAAACCCATTTTATTTTTATTTCCCTGTAAATGGGCCATTTTAGGAGTGATATATGAGCCATTTGAGCTGAAAAAATTTGTAGAAAAATACGTTTCCCCGGGTATTCTGACATTATACTAATTACCGGTGCAGTAGCGGATGAATTTTTCCTGTATCCTGTCTAATCTACTGTCTTAGAAAATTCATCTCAATGTATCATTAGCTTTCTCTTAGTGTAGCAAAGTTTCATGATTTTTCTCAAAATTTAATCACTCTGAAATCTTTTAAATTCTATTTCCAACGAAACTGATGTTCTACCAACAATAATTCCCTTTAAATATTATTAAAGCTAACCTACTCATTATTTGAAGTCA